CAATTCCCGATCTAGGCGATAGACAATAGAGTATACGTAGAGAGAATAGATATAGAGGAAGATAAAATATAGCGTAAAACGGTAGAATGTAAGGTTTGTAAGGGTAAAAAGATAGTAGGGTGTATGTTATATATAATCTGGTTAATAGCAAATATTGATGATGCGGTCATAGATATAAATGTAGGAACTGATGATCTTAGGTATCGTACGGTATAATTAGATAGGTAATAATTAGATTTAAGTACTTTAACGATTCGTAATATAGATATTGGGTACTTTTATATAAAAAAGTTTGTAAGGGGTAAAAAGATACGTAGGGTGTATGTTATATATATGATAGGTTAATAGCAAATATTGATGAAGCGGTCATAGATTTATATATAAACGTAGGAACTGATGATCTTAGGTATCGTACGGTATAGTTAGATAGGTAATGATTAGATTTAAGTACTTTAATGATTTGTAATATAGATATTGGGTACTATTATATAAAAAAGAATGCGCCTAAGGTTCATACGCGATTGAAGTAACATTTATTTGCTACTGTACAAGATGGCATTTAAGTAAAAATAAATACATCATATAACAGTTTCGTATAATGTTTCGTACCATTCACCATTTAACACATTTATATAATGATAAATTATAAATTATGCATTTATAATAGCATTAAAAATATGTATCATATTTAAAAACATAATGTGTTAATTAAAGTCATACTTCAAAAATGAGATGATCGGTTTGGTCATTGTAATTAACATTTAGAAATTAATCTTCATCATAGAAATGAAGTAATTGCTCATTAATAAATCTATAAATTCATTCACAAACTTCACTCATCGTGTAATAATTGAGTTTGAAAAACTTCATGTAATTAAAATTAACATACATTCATTGACTGCTTGTATTTTATTTACTTTTTCGCTGGCAATATAATCTCATTCTTTGAACAGCTGTAATAACTGTCTTGCCTAAAAATATTTTTCATTTTAATGACTTCAAAGATTTATAGAATCTACAAATAATATAGAAATAATTTCTAATCAATAAACTTACGTTTAGTACAAATGTTTAATTGTTTTATTATTTTCAAGAACAGGGTAAAATATTCTTCTGATTCAGGCATTTTTCATTAAATCAAGATTTGTACTACGATGTAATTTCAAAATGTTTATTTATCTATCTATGTCGATTTCCTTGTTGATATCGGTACGCATGCAACGTTTGACGCGGGACGCATACAGCGACAGATATCGGTTGACTACGCGACGACTAATCACAATCGACCCGTATAGAAATGATATCATCGAGAGCGAATGACGAATCATTGGCACTCGACTCTTATCTTATCTGCCGTAACGCACTTCCCTTGCATTTGTATGGATTTAACACCTAGTTGCGCCTAAGAAGTTTTACTTCAAAAATTTCCTGCAAAACATGCAATTCATTTTGCGTCCTGATGACCCCATTCTTCAACAATAGTTATTGCAGGAATAAATTACACGTCTCTCACAACGACGGACTGCACAATGCAAGCGTAGAACTGACGCGGAATAGGCGCTTCATTGTACTTCGAGTTACGAGCATTTATATCGTGCACTTAAATACAATCGTTTTACATTTCGATGACATATCATCAAAGAAAACTCTTGAACCCATAAATACGGTCGGACAAAGAGAACCGGGGTCGGCATGTCCATTATCCGCGGAAATAAATGAGTGTGTTTGTAAGAGAACGAGAGCCGTTTGTTCCCCACGTTTTTTGGCCGTTGAAAAAAGTATACGCGCTGTTTCGCAAAAACACTCCTGAAAGCTTGTATTAATGTCGGTTGCTTTTTAGAAAACAATTCATGACAACGTAAAGCAAAGGTGTGTCTCCAAAGTGATTGGAAATTTATGTTAATATGAAGAACGAATTATAATACCTTAAGTAGCATACTGGTATTGGAGAAACAAAAAGAATAAAAAAATTGAAAACATTTCTCACAAGAAAAAAACTCAGATTTACTCTTCTAGTTTCGGGCAAAAACACTCCTGAAGAGTTTTTATTAATGTGGTTGCTTTTTAGAGAACAATTAATGACAACGAAAAGCAAAGCTGTCTTCAAAGTGATTGGAATTTATGTTAATAGACAGCACGAATTATAATACCTTAAGCTGCATACTGTTCTTCAGAGAAACAGAAAAAATAAAAAAGAGATTTCTCACAAGATTTTTAAAAAAAGTTATAACATTTTAATTTATTACTATTTTGTGCTATCCCTTCAAAAATTATAAAAAGACGTTAGATCTGTTTGCCTCGTGGCTGTCCCTGCTTCCTTGGGGCAAACTTTATATTAAGCTAAAGAATCATATACTATTTTAACGAATCCAATTTTTTTAGGGTAGGTATTAAAATTGGATATAAATATTTTAAAGGAAAAAACTGGAACAAATTTCTTAAATACAACATATTTCGGAATAAAAGAGCATCGAAACTGCTAAATTTGATAAAAAAAATTTGCTCTAATATTATATAAATTTTTCGTAACCTTAACATATACGATATTACTTTTTAATAATAAACCTATTTTAAAAATTCAAAATACTCATGTGTATATTACAATTACTGAGTTTTAAGATATTCTTGGTGGTCTCATTATTTTACAAGCACAATTTGAATAATGTTGGCTAAATCACTTTATTGTCGCATATTATAATAAACAGTTAGCATTGTTTATTTTAAGACCATCAAAATAAATGGGATAATGTATATATGTCAGCACTTTATATATTGTTAATTGCAGCAAAGTGTGCAAGTATTTACGACCAGTTTAACTTTCTGACAGTTTGAAGAGAAGTCACAGTGTGTTGACAAACAAATTATAATTTAATTTAATTAATTTCATTTGATATCTTGACAGCTATGAGTCCGTAGTTTTGATAAGATGAATTATTATTTAAATTAATTTAGAACTAGTGGTGTATGACAGTGAGCTTTAAGAAAAGGTGTTGTTAGTTTTCCAAACTATATTCTATTAATCTTAAATAATTTACAAACTTTCTACAAAGTTTTGAAACATTATCAAAATTTTAGATTTTTCGGAATGATTCTAATATACTAATAGTAAAATATAATAAACAACTAATTTATTTTTTATTATAATTGGAAAAAGCTCAACAGTTAGTTTCAAGTTAGATACACTCCAATCTAATTGAAAACCAGAGCAAACCTTTCAAATTTCTGAATAAAATTTGAAAGCTTTTCTAGTTAATTTAATTTATTAAACTTTGGTCCCGAAACCAAATTTGAAGATTCATATTTCTAAAATCTCCGCCTGAAAATTTTATATAAATATATTATTAAACAAAACACATTTATGATTAAAAAAACAAACGAACGACAAATACTTATAGAAATGTATAAGTTTATTCGATTTTGCTTGGTTGTATATTTTGTCATGTTAGTCTTATTCATATTTGTTATTGCATTTGCATGAAGTTATATGATGGAAGATTTGTGTAGTGAAAATTTAAGAATGACTATTCAGATGTATAATTAGCATAACTTCAAATGTAAAGGTAAGTTTAATTTTTTCAAATTACTCATTTCTTTGACGTTTTTTGATTATTCGTAACTATTGCAATATTTTTGAAGAATTACAAGATTTTTACACATAATTTAAGGAGTCTTGAGAATTACCCTAAAAACAATGTGGTTTGGGGGGTATATTATAGAAATTATATAAGTCCTGATTAAAATGTACAATTATATAGAATCATGGCACAAAATGTTATTTAATACAATTAATTATTTATATAAATAACTAATTGTTTTTATTAAATAGACATTAATTTTAAATATAATTTTGTTTGGTGTTTAATTATAATTTTAATTTTGAGCTGATTTTATCCTCTAGTTCTTTTTATGAAAATGTCATCTGCCCATTTTTTTTGTGTTTGGCTCTTAGCTAATAAAAATATCGCTTCAAACCCATATGGATATTTTTTTGTTTAATTATTTTTCTATTCGTCATAAATATAGTCTTGTTCACAATTTTAGTGATATAATTATCTTATTGAATTTCAATATACTAGCGATAAAAGTTACTTACCTCATTGATAAATATGAAAGTGATACTTGCAACTATGCAAATCCAATTTTAAAGAAGCAACTATCATATAAAAATAACTTTACAATATTCACCTGACTCAATGATCATAGTGCTGAATTAATTACTATAATAGTATTATATTATTATATGATATTATTTAGTCACCAAAAAAGTAGTACAAAGCGATGTACAAAATCAATTATTTAGAGCCGATTTTGCATTCAAATCGTTAATTATCGGATTTTGAAGTAAAATGTCTGAAATATCTGAAAAAAATGCAGTTTTAGAAAGTGTTAAAAAATAATGTTCAAAGTCATACGAATAGAAAAACTGGTGTTGCCACGTCTGAGATCTATTTACAGAAAAAAAATCATTATATTCTTCCAATTATATTTGTTAATATGAGTTGGTTAAAATGAGTCCAACTGGAATCCATCCATCCAGAAAGACGAAGCTGCTCCAATCGCTTCTACATAATTTCATTCCATCTATGTACATATATCTATCATATAACCTATTTTTCAGATCCTAATATAGTTAGATTAGTAGTTATAGAAAAAAAAATCATTATACTCTTGCAATTATATTAGTTAATATGAGTTGTTTAAAATGAGTCCAACTGGAATCCATTATTTCATTATGAAAGACGAAGGTGCTCCAATCGCTTCTACATAATTTCGTTCCATCCATGTACATATATCTATCATATAACCTATTTTTTTTAGATCCTAATATAGTTAGGTTGGTAGTTATTAAGTATCCATAGCTTTTAAATATTTCTTCATAAAATCATCATCATTCAAAATAAATACAATTTTACTAACAAATTCATATCATTAATAGTCATTTTTGACAAAAATTAAAAAAGAATGAGATTAAAAAAATCATTTTCTGTACCGCGTTACAGCAGCGCGCCAATTCGGATCGCGATAGAGAGCGCTGGAGTCTCTTGCGGCACGCGCGGGACGAGGCCGAAAGATCGCTCGCTCTGGCCGCCCAATTATCGGCCAGAGAGAAACAATTGCAAAGGGCTCAGGATCAATTGCAAGAAGTGAGTAGTTTTTTGAAAATTCGAACTAACTTCAACTTTTAATAAAAGTCATTATATAATAGTCAACTAACAATTATTGATCACACACCGCACAATCAAGAGCTTTTAGCACATCTCATAATTCGAATCAAAATAGTTTCCATTTGTTAGTGTTTGTTGGTTACCTAATTATAATTATATTATTCACAATAATTTAAATTTTTTTTTTATGTTTTATTAACTAAAAAACTTTTATTAAACTTGCAGCTGTTTTACTACAGTGTTGTATAGAAATTTAAAAACAAGTTTAGTATATCTCCTCTGAATTTCACATAACTTACTAACTAAACATTAATACTAACCATTATTATTTATTATTAACCTTTTGCCAATCCAGGGATTTGTGTGTGTTTTTTTTTTAATTTTATTTTCAATAGCAATCAGACAATTCTATGAGCTATTTGGCTTATGTCACTAGCACACATGCACTAAAATCTAATTATGACGAGTATCAGCTTGTTTTAAGTGTTGATTTTTTTTTACCAATTTAATTTTTTTTACCATAATTTGTGTTTCTAAATAATAATTAAAAAGATTGTGATAGTTTAAGATGATTGTTAATTTTATTTTCATAGTTAATTTTAATTTTTTCTGAAGTCGCTGGGTAAAAGATCATATTATTTTCTATTGATCTTCCATATTACCCAAAGTATTTAAATTCAATATTGGATATTCTATGTTTTTCTATAAATATACTACGATTTCTAATTTCTAGAAAATGTTGACAACTCACGCACATTAAAATACATAACAATTAACAAAAGAACTTGTAAAAAATATAACTATGTACTAAAATTCCTATTTAAGGTAACGCAATTTGTGTCAAAAGTAATGATCTATTTGAGCAAAACAGTAATCAAACGCTTAAGCCATCTTGCATAGTATTGCTGTTTAAATTCTGATCCATATATTTTATTTGCTTTTGTTCCGCAATTACATTTGGGATCTGATGAAATTGTTTCGTTAATTTTAATATACATTTTAAATATATATTATATATTCGCATGATTTGTATTCACTTGCATGTTTAATGTTTAACCGTAAATTATTGCATGCAATTCAGCGTAAGTTTTGTACCTTTTTTGCATTAAGTTTTAAGTACCATTTCAACCTTTTAAATAATATTAATATACAAATATGTCAATTCATTTTTATTTTTAACTACATCAAATCAATCAATTGCACTCATAATATATAATTGTAAATTTTCCTATTAGTATAAAAGACTTTTTTTTTTTTTTAGGTAAAAATAATTTTGGGTAGAATTATGATTTAGTTGAATCAGAATAATATAATCATGGCCATATTAAAACCTTCGACACTTCTGTAAAAGTGTGACTACTACTTTTCAAAGTGAATTTTTTCATAAATTGTGAATAAAATCAAAAATCATCATAGAATATTTAATATATCAATTCATAATAACCTTGAAACTTTAATTGTAGCTTGTGCAAAAAATAAGGCAAGTATGCCCTTATATAGTCTCATATAAATATTCAAGATTTTTTTTATCTGTAATACTAAGGTTACCATACGTCCCGGGTTGGCCGGGACAGTCCCGGATTTCCACCTTGTGTCCCGGGTTATTTTAAAAGCATGATTTGTAACGGATTTAGATCTTTTGTCCCGGATTGTCCCGATTTTTCGAAAATCAGCAGATGAATTAACAAAAATTATGAAAAAAACGAACAAGTGCTAATTTTTTTAAAATATCCATGAATAAAATTGACTAAAATATTATACAAGGCTCAAAAGCGCAAAAAACATATAGATCGATATAAGATATAATATCATAGATGAAAAAATATAATATAATAATCGAATAATCGACATGTAATCTTATTCTTACCGAAAGTCCGCAATTCCTATAAAAAAGATGAATATAAAAAAATTCTTATTATATACCCCTCGTCCCGGATTAGCATAACTAAAAATTGCCGTCCCGGTTTTGACTTTGAAAAATATGGTCACCTTAGTAATACAGTCAAAAGTATATATTTTATTTTTTAATATAGGTGATCGAAAGTTGTCAATTGACATAGCTACAATATTTTACAAATAGTCAAAAAAGTAAATATTCATTTAAAATAATATTATTTTTCCAGGCACGTCGACAACTATCTGGCGGCGGATGCATGTCCGACCAAGAGTCCTTAGCTTCCCTACCACGAGGTCCGGTAACCCCCCCAGCTAGCCTCTTAGGCGGCAGTAGCATGGGCCACGGCGGAGGAGCAAGCGGCGGCTGCGAACGCGGTTCGTGCTCGGCAGACAGCGGCGTGCGAGGGTCCAGCGATCGCGAGAGTGCTGCGGGCAACCTGTCGGATGGTGGCCGATCGGAATGCGCGGGCGCCGCTTCTGTGAGCGGCGGTAACGCGCCGTCGATCACTGTGGATCCTGATAGTTTGTCTATTGTTTCTTCGTCGTGTGCGCCCCACATGTATCAATGTAAGTGTCAAATATTTTTTCTTTGTTTATTATTATTAGAAAGTCTTAGATGTTTTGTATTACAACACAAGTAATAATTGCATATGCATCGAATTTAATCTAATTGATCTCGTCATCAAAAGGCGTGATACAGTCACTCTGTTAACGCGGCAAGTGCGTACATTGCAGTATAGGGACCGTGCTATAAAAAACTCGTATTTAACATACAATCCAGGCTAATTCGTAGTGCGTTCTATGGAACCTTATATAGTGCAGTATGGGAACCGCGCTATGAGAGACTCAGAGTTAGTACAAATCGCACCATTTTTATCGTCTTGTATAGAGACCAAGGAATACAACTTGAAGTAGGAGTAATACGTACGAAATAACCTGTATGACATAAACACCTTATTCAAAAATTGGCGCAACGCAGTAGTCAGTTCAAACGTGTTCTTAGACAGCTATTACATAATCAGGCATGTCTAAAAGATAAAAGTCGATAAAAAAACTTGCATTAACACCCTTTTGATATCAAGTTCCTGGAATCACTCAAGGAAATTATGGGCTGTTTAACAAAATACGTAATGTAATAGGAAGTCCGTGTAGTCGGAGGGATGTCGGATTTTAAGCTCCGTGTAGTATGGAAACCGTGTATTCAAGGTACCGTGTTAACGGAGGGTTGACTACTTATAAATTTAGTAGCTACTTATAAATTCCTCGCCCTTTATTCAAATTGTCAACTATGGGGCCGATTCCGCCATAAGATAGACCAATGTTATGGCAAGGCTGCGTTAACGCTACGTTATTACGTATCTTTTCCATACAAAATGGTACAAAAACTGTCAAAATTATATATGGTTTCTGTGCAGTCAGGCGTTTTAGATAGAAAACCTAACCTAAAAACGCATAATCGTCAAAACAGAATCTTATAATTGCATCTTTCTGATGTGCCATAACATCTGAGTGAAGTTGCATGTTATGTATAAAACGCCTGATAACATAGCCTTGCCATAACATTGGTCAATATTACACCATAAACGTTTCCTATAATTGATTATTTATGTGGCAGTATTGTTTTATCGTAGTATACAGTACTGTATAGCAGTATCGTTCGACTAATTCGTATAATATCCTCATGTGTTTAATTTTATATATAGTCGTTTAAATTTCGTTTAAAATTTTAAAACAAGAAATTTGAGTATTAATCTTTGCATTATAATCCATTTCGATTAATAAAATCTTTAAACTTTATATATGAAAAAGTCGTTTACTTAATTCAAGTTGAATATTTTTGTAAATATGACATACTAATGAAATTTTTTATTATGATTGAAAGAATCGCTCAATATAAAATTTCCTAAAATCACTACTGGCGTCATATTTTTATTGTAATTCACAGTCAACAGATGCTTTAATACGAAATTATACAACATATCGATCATTGATCTTAATTGGGCAAAAATCATTACCCTTAATTCGAGATATTCATGTAAATGAAGTCAGATTTTATTACAATTTTATAAAATAGTATCAAGAGAATAGAAAATAGAAACAAAAATGATCGGAGATAATTTGTACTAAGTGTCCTAAAATAATTACATAAAATATTTAATATCTTTTTAAAATAAATTAAAATATATATTAAATTGGCACGAAAATATATAATTGAAAATATATATTCTTTCATTAAAATATTTTGAATTGGCATTAAAATTTTGCTTACTAAAATTTATTGGATTGTTCGTTGCTCATGCATTCGGATCACACAGTCTTTGAATCTGGTATGTATTATTGCCAGATTGTAATTTTATATCAATACCTTTGTTCATTTTTGTCAAATTTATATCATACATGTTTATAGTTCGTTCAATTTTTGTAGTATTTTAAATAATATATATTAATTATAATTATTGTATAGCTTATATCAGAACTTTCTTTTTGTTATTTGTTTTTCGCAACTCTCATTGTTATATTCATGTGAAATCTATAAATATTTAGCTCATCATAATTCTTTATTTCTTTGTTACTTCCTACGTTATTTCTTTGTTTCTATCTTTGTTATTGCACCAATAAAGTAATATGGTAAAGTAAAACGATTAGACTAGTTAGTAAAACTTTGCAAATATCACCCAGATCCAATTAATTATTTATCACGTTTTTTTTCCCATAACAATCAAAAGCCATTAGTTGTTAATGTATTGCACAATCGTACATTGCTTTCTGTGAAATTTCTAGTTAAATTAATTTTTATTTCAATTACTGTGATCTTATTTAAACTACTAGTACATTTTTAACTTTTATTCTTTTGCAGCTGTAGGGTCGCCAAAAGAGCGAAGTCCAACACTATCGCCACTTAATGCTGGTGCTTATTCACGATCTGTTGATGCAGCATCTTTATCTAGAAGTGTCGAACAACTAGGAAGTCCTTTAGATGCAGACCCACCGCCTGCTCCGATGGGTGCAAGGCGGTCTAAGACAGGAGTAGCCGGCACATTCGGTGGTAGAACAGGTCGAGGCGCAGGTGGAACTTGGGGTAGTATATCTCGTGTCTTTGCACGCTCCAAGCATAGGAGCAAGATGGCATTGCAAAATGAAATAGGTAAATAAATTATTGATATTTGGATTATTCAAATTATATTATAAATACTCGTATTATTATGCTTTTGTTGCTTCATTTTTATTGTTATAATAGATACAAATGGACCGACAGACACATGGAGCCCATTAACTGAGGAAGGATATGCAGAAAAACTTCGTCTGTTACGCGAAGCTAGTACAATGCCCATCGAACGCTGGCGTGCTCCTATGGTTCTCGCTTGGTTAGAAGTAGCTTTGGGGATGCCACAATACGGCCCAAGATGTGCAGAAAATATTAAAAGCGGAAAGGTATTATCATATTACATTTTCCAAATTCATACATTTCATATCACAAATAATTAATGTATAATCATTTATTTATTCCAGGTTCTCTTGGAACTTTCGGACGCCGAACTAGAAGCTGGTCTAGGTACAACTCATCCTATGCATCGAAAGAAACTCAGGCTGGCAATTGAGGAACAACGAAGACCAGAATTATGTCGTTATCCCGCTATTTCACAATTAGGACATACATGGGTTGCCGCTGAATGGTTGCCTGACTTAGGACTTGCACAGGTAACATCGAATGTCGCGTAATATAAGCATGTGGAAAGAAAACATAATCTAATTGTAAGATCAAGAACTTGCGAATAGTTTAAAACTCCATATCTATTGAATTATCATCGCCAGGTTTTAGTTTATTTTAGCAGTTTTAAAGGCAGTACGTCGCATTTGTTGTTACCGAAATCACATGACCAAACCGATGTTTTGGTCATACTTTCAAGTGCAATTTTATCTGCTGTTTAATACTAATTCAGAACCGAAACCGAAATATAACCATAAACATGGTTGGTTCGTAGCCGCTTTTTGAACTTCCATTCAATTGATTTAATGATGTCTCATAAAACATTTATGCTAGACCTAAATAAATCTATTTGCCGAACTATACGATGTCTTAACCAGTGTGTGCTAATATGTTTTTTGGCGGAACGCTAAAATTTAAAATCCGGTTCATAAACTGGTTCAAACAAATTGATATATTTCGATTAGAACTCACAAATTTAATATATTGACTTCTTATATAATTAACTCTATTATGTACAGCTAGTTTATACATTAAATTGTACAAGTATGAGGGAATCATTGAGTACATAATTTATATTCTTTATATTTATTGTGGTATTATTTGTATTCATTAATACTTACAGGTATTTATTATGATATAAAAGTACTCAAGATTTATTACAATACTTTATAAGACTTAACCTAATAATACGATAGATAACCTATTACCTATCTTACTATACTATATTATTGTATATCATAGGTAGATATCTATTATCAATCATACCGTGAGATGCCTATACCGTCATTAACTTATCATATACCTACATACTTTTTACTTCTTATAAATATTACTGTCTAATTTATATATTTACCTATATTATATAGGTTTACCTTACGCCCCATGTATTATCTCTACCTATCTATTGTCTATACCGGGAATTGAACCCGGGACATCCGCGTGGCGGTCGCGCACCTTAGCCACTACCCTATCGGGTACCCCCATTAATAATATAATATTAGACGCACTGTTGTTTCCGCGGGTCATTTTCTAATTAATTAGATAATTAATACTAAGGTGGCGCGACGACACGCGAAAAAAGACGATTGATTGTAGCGTTACCGTGGTCTAGTGGTTAAGATTGTTGGGTGCCACGCGGCGGACCCGGGTTCGATTCTCGGTAGGGTTAATGTAGCGTGTAAGGAAAATTATAGGTAATAGGATATATAGTAGATATAGGTTAGGTGTATTCGGTATACAATGTAGGGATTTGAGAGTATGTGATGAAATATAGCGTATGGTATAGATGTTAAGGCGTGTAGTATAGAATGCAACGTACAGGCATACGTAAGGCTATAAAAATACACGAATAGGAACCTATGATGTAGGTGTTAGCGTATAAGAAATGCGGATGTATATAAGATTTAATTTATAAATATTATTTTTTCTATAAGAATTTTTATCTCGGTATATCTAAAATATCCAAATTATCCGTTAAGGCATCGATTACACCTTACTGCTGCCTTTGCCGTTATCACTTCATAGAAAATTAATTATTAATTTTAAACGATTGTGTGCACTGTGCGACAATAGACATAGAACTATAAATTTTATTGAATGTTTGAGTAACTTGTGCGAGCTGATTTTCTTAAGATGTTCTTAGTTTCGCAACTTACTGAATTCTAAAAATTCTAAATTTAAAAATATAATATACAAATTATTATACCGCTGTCTGGAAAGGATGGCAATTTATAAATATGCAGACTAATACATACAAAATTTAGAATTTTTCTATAATCTGTAATATTGAGAAAGTTTGCATTAGACTTAAAAAGGGATGCTTATTTACCTTAGCTATGGATATATATGTGGAAAAATTATATGATTTGTACATGCATCCTGTGCTCACTTAAACTAAACAATGATCATAATATATTTAACGAATTTTTAACAGTATTTACAAATTACATTCAAATCACCCAAAGCAAGTGGGTTAAAGTCGTGTAATTTTTTAATTTGCCTCCCCCCTTTGAATTTAAAAATGGATTTTTCTGTGGGGCGTGTGCCTCACGTTGGGAATTACTAGTCTAGAAGTACAATTTTTTAATCTACTAGCAGGTTAATCAATAATTGAGTGATCATCAATTCCACAGCACCTTCATCAGATTTTTAAGAGATCAAAGTTTCTATGAATATGCATACAAATCTCAAATTGTAGGCCGAAATTTAGACAATAAGTCTATTGAAATATCAGGGTAACTCTTTTGCTATAAATTGCCAACTAATTTACGAATAAATAAATGTCAATAAAACAATGATTAAAAAAAATTACCAATAAATGTTGGATTGTAAAAATTTACAAGCGATCGAACGGCTTATATTTTTGCCTTAGATGGCAAAAAATTCATCCAATTATTAAAATATTACATTTTTTACAGTTCTTATGCTTTTGTATTTATAGAATTGCTTTTTTTGCTACAATCAATTTCCATTATATGAATGTCTTAAATTATTTATTTTATTCGACTAACGCCCGCTATGTCCGAAACAAGTTCAACTTATATCCCAAATAATCGGGCATCAGACACTTTTCGGTCTTAAAGTAACATATGTGAAATTTGTACTAACCTAACCTCAATTTGTAACTAAATTAGAAACGACTTTGATAAAACCAGTGGTGTTGTGCTAATATTTTTTTGTCGGAACGCTAAAATTTAAAAACTGGTTCATAAACCGGTTCAAAAACCGGTTCTCATGTTTTTTCCGGTTCCGTTCGAAAAGAAAAGAAACAAAAATTATTACAAAACCCATTGTGTGCACATATATGTATGTTTATTACAATAATAAGAACATTTAATTTAATTAATCATTTTCTGTATGTACCGATTTTTTATATTTTTTCTTGCGGGAACGCGTTCCTTTCCAAAAATGATTTTCCGGAACTACGTTCCGGCGCGTTCCGCCTCGACAACACCACTGGTCTTAACCATATGTTAATAATTCATAATTTATAAGTAAAAGTTAATATATTATATCTTTGTTTAAAGTATGCTGAAAATTTTGCTGCGAGCATGGTAGACGCTAGAATGCTGGACACATTGTCCAAGAAGGAACTCGAAAAGTTCCTAGGAGTGACACGGAAATTCCACCAAGCAAGTGTTGTACATGGTATCCATTTATTAAGGATAATGAAATATGATAGACAGGTAATTATAGCATTTCATAATATCATTGTTTAATATTGTATTGCATTCTAATTTATTTTTATTAGGCTTTGGCTATTAGAAGGCACAAATGCGAAACTATGGACGCTGATCCTTTAGTTTGGACGAATCAAAGATTTATTAGATGGGCACGTGCAATTGATTTAGTTGAATATGCAGACAATCTTAAAGGTACTACATCTTTTCACTTTATCTTATTTAATACTTCAATTAATTTAACTCACAAATTCTTTCTAATTCTAGATAGTGGAGTGCATGGAGGTTTAGTTGTATTAGAGCCTTCTTTTAATGGTGACACAATGGCAACAGCTTTAGGAATTCCACCAAATAAAAATATTATACGAAGGCATTTGGCGACTGAGTTGGAAGCTCTAGTTCTACCTGCCAGGTAATATTTTTTTATAATTTTTACGAAGCATGTTCATTAGTAGAAATAAGCATTTAAAATTTATTTCAATACTATACATTCATATTCCATCATCCGCTTCGGTTATCAAAATAACACACTTTTAAACACTTATAGTTTCAAAATACCGGTTAGCAATAATAGACATGATGCTGGAAATTGTACTAAAGTAGGAGAAATAGGAATGTTTTTGTTTGAAATAATTACAGTATACAATTTCAATTTAAACATTTCATTTTACTAGAAATTCTACTCTAAAGGGCAAGGAAAGGAAACGCTCTTGTTGCGTTTGGCGCCTGTTTATTGAAAAGCGTCTAACGCAACATATGCGTGCGCTACTATTAGCGTTTTTTCTTTATGCAGAAATGGGAGATCTCTTGTATGCGTATCGTTCGATTTTAAAGTAATGCAATTGGAAGAGCATTAGATTAATTTCAATTATAGTGAATTATAAATAAATCTTTGATAAATCTAGTATGTGATATTGTGCTCTCACATAAAACCTAGAGCAATATTGAGCACGTAATTTTGCGTACTTGTTCAATATTAAGCATCGAAATTTATCTTGTAAATATAATTTCATGTTAAATCATTGATATTTGTCATGTGGGACGTGTATCAGTTTGTATGAAATTTTCATATCGACAATCACCATAATCACCGCTCCGCATCATATACACTAAAATAGCCACCACCATCACCACATGTTATCACAAACACCCGTTTTGCTGTTCATTTTGCAATGAAAATGTTTTTTGTAAGCGTATGCCTTATTAAACCTACAGGTATGTCGTTTTCTGCGAAATGGAAGAACTGCAAGCCGAAGTACCGCGTTCATCCAGCCACCAACACAAGAACTCTAGCAATAGATAAACAGTTTTCGATAATATCATAAATAATTACACCAAACTTATTCCTTTAAATAATTCCTAGGAAATACCATTTTATTGTTACTTTGTGCCAATTTGTTTTTATTCGTATATCAATAATGTTACCAATTTTTGTAACATGCAATCAATGGTGACCTTTGTATCACATTGAACCACTGCAAACTAAAAATGGATTTGTAATAAATGTTAAACGATTCTTAAAATTGCTTTTTGATGCGTTTTTAAAATAGTTGTTTTACTTATGTTTATTTCAAATGGAGATAGTAAAAAGAATTAAATGGCTAAAAGATTGTAATAAAACTACATTGTTGAAAGTCGTACAATAAATTTCGTGTATAATTAATTAAAAACTAAAAGCTCTGCATCGCACTTTATTTTTTGATATTATATAACAATTAATGTACATAATTTAAATTACCTTGGAATTTATTATTTTAAGCAGCCATTTAATGTCGTTTAAACGTTTGTAAAACATATCTCAAAACAATCTATGGAATCTCCAATTTTACAATTTAACACTACTGTTGTGCAATAAATAATTGAAACACATGTTGTAATGAAATAAAATAACTTCTTCAACCCAAGATTTTTTAATAAATGGTGAGCATAATTGTTCTTTCATGTGATAGATCTAGATTGTGTCAATATATCTTTATCGATGGATCATCATCAATCACGCATGTAACTGTTGTCGAAGGAAATAATTGATCGAATTAACAAACGAGCAACGACATTACTAAATATTGTTTTTAATTATTTTGCAATTAAGCACATGCATATTTACCACTATTCCATTACTGTCAATTTTTTATCTTCAGCTTTGCCACTTTTGAATGTTAAAAACGTGGATGTTTTAGATTTTTTTCAATGCAATTAGGGTGTTTTGTTTGTTTCTGTTTCACGAATGCTCTTATGCATAGGTTGATGTTTTTTCATGGCTTGTGCGTTTTAATGTTATAAAGAATAGGTCATGGCCGTAATAACTGTTAATTTTTAGATAGAACAAAATAACACTCGTAAAAATTTATGCCTTACCTTACAAAACAAGTTAAAACTTACAAAACTCAACAAGTCATCGATACCAAAACGGGTACGATATTAGCAAAATGTTGAAAATATTTTGCAAAATTTTGAATGATTGTGTTGGTGTAGATGATATGCACAATAAATTAAATTATGTTCTAAATAATTTTAAATTTGATGCTGCTTGTTTTAAATGTATGCATTCTAGAAACTTTCGTACAAATTTTCCCATATATGGGCTCTTTTATGCATTCGTATCATAACTAACATAAAGAAAATATTCACATAGTTTCATATATTTTGCTGACTTGCATTAAACAAATATTTAATAGAATTTTGATGCAGTTTTTACTGTTGGCACAGAAATGTTAAGTTCATTCGATCGACAATCGACTTATTGAAATAAATTCTGGAAACTTATACTCAAGAACCTTAGCACAGAATTAATATAAAATATTGAATTTTTAATTGAATTAGTTTATTATACTCTTATTAATTGTACTGCCAGCATGCAACAATTCTAATAACCATAACGCCGAAGAAAAACTTATGGGCCAATTCTGCTGTAATTTGACCAATGTTATGGGAACGCTATGTTACGCTGTTTTTTCTTTCATATAAAATGGTACTAAAAACTATCAAAATGCTATATATTTGTTATGCAATCAGGTGTAAAACCTAACTTCAAAAACGCACAATTTTCAACAAAGAATGTTATAATAAATTCATCTTTGTGAGGTTTCTTATTAGCATATGCGAGCAGTTAGATTTTATGTGTAAAACGCCTGTCTGAACAGCAAATACATAGTATTTTGATAGTCTTTAGTACAATTTTTCGTGAAAAAAGCATCGTAACATAGAGTTCTCACAACGTTGACCTATTTTACGGCAAAATTGGCCCATTAATTTTTAATATAATACTTCAATATCGAACAAACCAAAGTTATATAAAAAATTCTAATAACTAGAAAATGCTTAACAAATTAATTGTTCTTTAGCACATTTCTTTGATATTGCTAGCACATTTTTATGATATTTATAAGAAATACGTCAAAATTGCTAGTGCCATGATACGAATGCATAACATTGTCTATATAATATTGTTATTGTGACATCCAGGCATTTCAATAGATATATTTAGGTTTTTATATTATTTGAAATGTCCGATTTTACAGCATTTTCTTTCACAAAGATTTTGGTTAATTGTGGTTATCTATAACATAGCATCATATTACAATACATTTTTTAAATAAAAATGTGCAAATTAAACATGTTTACCTATGCAAAAATTATTGATAGCCAAAATTGCTAAGGGATCGTTCAAGTATTACGTAAGCAGATTTATTACAATTATTTACCCCCCCCCCCTTTCCTTTGCCAGCAAAAGTAAGCAAAAGTTCTTACCCAAAATAAGCAAAATAAGCCAATCAATAACCTCCCGCCCCTATAGTGCTTACGTAATACTTGAATGGCCCCTAAAACGAAATAATTTCCTAGAAGCATAAATTAAATATTTCTCGTACGTTAGATACCGATTTATGGATGGCGAGCGAACTTGCACTGCTTGTTTAATATTATATTTGTTTTATAATTTTGCTTGATAATTGATGTGTAAAAACAATATATGTACGTCAGGGCAATGCTGGGTCAGGGGCTGCGATATCGAGGTCCAGTAGCGACTTACGGCTCCGACAGAACATTGGGACAGGCTTCGTCCAGATCTTACACCACGGGGTTAGATTTGACGGAAAGACGGGGCAGTCTACGGGTAAGATATGTCCAAAACAGACTATTATGTGATCACACTGATAGTTCTAACATTTATTAGGTTTTAATTCAGTTTTTATCTGCTGCTGGCGTGTTTTCTTATATACCAATTCCACTCTTCTAGTGCTATGGATAACTACACTGGCGACTTATCGGTTAACATTTTTCCAACTTAATTATGATTTGAAATTTCAAACGATTAGTATCCACATATCACATTTCTAGGACACTGTTTCGATTTTACATTGTGCACCGAGTTACATTTTAAATATTCATGTTTTTTTTTTAAATAAAACTTCACTATTTTGAGCAAATGGGCCAGCGGTGGCGATATCGGTTAGAACGTGGGCTAGCACCAACTAGTCCCTGGTTCGCTGGTTCGATTCCCGCTACCGCCAAGCCTGACATCAGGCAACTTTGATATCAAATTTCCACTTGAGGTTATAGATCTCAAATATAGCCTGAAGTGAAAATCGCCTCTGGTGAGTATAGTTGCATATATAAAAAAAATGTCAGCAACTACTTCGAGTATAGATAATTAGACATAACTGGACTGGACAACTACTGGGTTGCCATCCATTCAAGATTCATATATAATAAGAAAAGTCAAAACAATTACTGAATGTCCTAAATGTGACAGATTGTAATTAAAATAAAACAATAAAAAAAATTTGAACAAATAGATAACATGAAAAAGATCAGTAAAATAGGTATGTAACAAGCAAGTCAGTTCTAATTTTATAACGCGAATATAAGAAACCTAATACCAGAATCTGCGAGTGTGATCACATATTAATATTTAAACTTTAATGAAGAAATTCTGCCCATTAACTTTATAAAAAATGGCCAGAGTTCCTATACCACCTGCATGTTCTATATTAACTTGCATGATCTTTGCCTGTCTGAATGAGCACATTAATCCTAAAATCGGAATGACACGAAATTAATAAATTATTACTTGATCAAATATTTTCTTCGATCAAATTCGGAACTCCAGTGCGATGTAGGAAAATCTGAACAATGACGAATTTTGATATGTAATGTTTAGATATTTCTAATATGTGTAGACAATTGTAATAGGATAATCACCTTATTCCAATTAACAATAAGCTTTAGTTTCGGATACAATGATAATAATGTATAAACATAAAAATTTTATTAATTATATAATAAACAATCAAATTTATATGTATACAGATTTGTTATTAAATATATTTTGGAATGAGTTTGATATATGAAATATCACATGAAATTCAGTTGTTCTGGATGAAATATTTCAGGTAAGTTCAAACACTGTCGATTAATTAGCGTTTTTACTTTTGGACACACATTGCAATTCTGACTTCGAGGATATTAAATAATCAATTGATAATTTTATACTTGAAAGGAAAAAACAGTTTTACTATTTCATCAGTTTATTAATGAAAAATATTTTAGTTATAAATTGCAATAATTTTTTTGAAAAAATATTTTAATTTAGGCACAAGTGCTAAATTTTAATTTTATACTCGATTGAGTAAAAGTTGAGGAAAATAGTATATAAAAAATGCACATAGTTATTTATATGAGTTTAAAATTATTTTTGTTACGTCTAATAAGATAAATAATTTAATTTTTCTTATTATCTGCAATGAATGGATAATACGATTTAAATAACCTATTTTTATATTTGAAATTTTATCATCATCATCATAGTTTTCTCAAATTTTCCATGATTAGATATGTCTCCTGATTACATTTGCTCCCAATAAATTGGACTATATAATAGAAAATAGTGTTCGTTACTATCAATTCATACAAAAATAGACCCGTAGCATAACGTTTACAATAACTTTTGGAGAATTGGCCCATGAGTTATTGATAGTAATATAAATGAAAAACGTTAAAATATAGTTTCTTGAATATAATTATTGATATCAAAATATTATATTTGACTGCAATATACGCCACTAGCAACTTTCAGTATTATAGAGTTTGAAAAATATTAATATTATTAAAAAATATGTAAATGTAAAATATGTTATCAGTGTCGCATTGCATTTGACTTATTAAAAAATATATAAAATCGTTGAAAGAGAGTTAGCTGAAAACTTTGAAATTAAAAAAGCTTTTATTTGAGGAATATTTCTATTATATTTTTCAGTAGCATTTGCATCGTATCTAAATATATGAGTCTATAAATCATGGCATTTAAATATAAAAATTTTCGCAAACATGTAATTTTCCTTTAAAAATTAAAACAAATTACCAAAAATAATTATTTTGAAATTTTCTTAGGGTTCTTTAAGCCGAGCCTTCAAATTGAGACCGCGTTCGGATAAGATGATATCTCCGACGCCTTCGAGTTCCAGCGAAGGAGCATACTCTGTTGGGCCTGTCTTCTACGCACCCCCGTGTCCACCAGGCCCGCCGCCCAGCCACAGGGTGTCTGCACCCCCGCCGTCGGTAAACGACAGTTTACAGCGATCAGCTTTCGCCCAACATAGAAGGGTAAAGAGTATCAGCGATATCGAAATTGCTGCAGCAATTTCATCAGTTTGATAAGTTTTCATCTCGAATAATTGCTTTTATAGATATTTTTTATTAAGATTATATACGTATCATTTGTTATTAATAAAATAACAAAAGTGATTTAAACTGTGAGCACGTAAAATTAATAACGAGTCGACTGTTAAAATATCAGTTAATATGCTCGTTATTTAACACCAATGGCTGATTTATTTATTATTATTTATTCTATCTGCTTTCACTGATTTTATTCCCTCATTATTTCTTAGTCATAGTTAGTAAAAAAAAATCGTTAACTTTTACTATTAGTCTCTCTTTTTGGTTTTGCATTGAAAATCCACTAATGAAGTCTGCAAATCAATCTAATGAGTAAATCTTAATCATAAAACTATTATTATGACCATAGCACATCAATTTTAATCCTCAATATTACACAAGTTTTATTCGACCAAATGAAAAATCTATAAATATTGATAATGGTATTTTAATCAATGATAATGTTAAGATTTTTTCAAATCAAATAAGTATAAACCATTATTTTTTTATAATTTTACTCATAACAAGGGTAGGTTCTTAAAAGTTTTTGTAATTGTAAATTACACATGAAAAGCAAGTCGATTCTGCTGAATAAATATTATTTAATAAAATACTCGCTTATAGGTTCTGCTAAAATTTATCTCTGAGTCCATCTCGAAATACTCTTCATCTATTTTTTGTATATAAAATAAGATCGAAGATAATCTTTGATAATTATGACATTCTCAAGAGCAATAATGATTTGTTGACAACGAGACTAATATTCACAAGTATTTATATTTATACATTTATTCAATAATATATTATTTTTAATAATATATCACTGATCAAACTTTTATTGGATATCATAACTTCTCTTAATTTTAAGAGTTGTTATATAATTCATTGGGTTTAATTATCATTTATTTTTATAACAAAATTATTTAAATGCATGTAAAGCACAAAGCAATATATTGGTTAAGAATTATAAATTATTCGTAACTTTAATTTAGGTTAATAATGTGTATTTAAGTAATATATGAATCATAAGATCTGAATTTAATCAAATATAGTTTTTCCTACTTAACATACCAAAGGAATATATAAAACACCAAAGAATTCCATGAGAAATAAAAACTTCTAACCATTCCCAACTTAGATATTAAGCTATAATTTTATCACTCACATTTTGTTATTTATTTAAGTATCCTAGTCCATGAATTTTATTTATTGATTGATTCAGAGTATATTTACTCATGCTTTTAATGTTTGTATATTTAATCATATTATGTTATTTATCTATTTATCCCAATATTTGTTTTTGAAAATCATTATTAATAAATATAGTGAATTTATATTGGACATTTATTTAATATATCAAAAATGAAATATGAAAGTATATAAATTTAAAATGAATTTTTCAAAATTTGCCACAGCACTATTTTGATTATTTGAATATTTAATGAATTACCATGAAAAGGGTCAGAAAAAACATGAATGATAAAAGTATAGTATAAGCCGATATTAGAAATACAGTACAGTATAGAATCCATACTATATATATAAGAATCTATATTATTCATTCAGAACAAAATTAATAATAGTTATATCGTCCAGAATTAATAATTGTAAATTGGTAACTTGAAGGAGCAACTCGAATCATTTATAAAGAAATTTCCTAGTAAGAAATATATTGAATGCTCTTTCTCACTTTCTGAATGTGATTACTAATTAATTGCTCTCATTTAATTGAATTAATTAATTTAGTTAGTCAACTAGTTAAGAGCATTGTGCTTTTTTATCCTTATTAATACAACAAACATATTTAAATTACTTAACAGTTTAAGGCGGATAAAGTAAAGTACTTTTTATAGGTAGCGCACAAAAATAAAAAATATATCAAAAAATTATACAAGAATACATTGAGTAGCAAATGTGACGAATTTACACTATAATTAAACAAAAAAACAAATTTAACAACTTCATAGGGCATAAAGTAAACTATTAGATATGTTGATAATGAATTCTGTATATCAAATATACATTGAATGAACAAGAAGTGTAACAGTACAAATATAGGCTATGTTTTAACGTTAAACTATGTAATAATTTAATGAAAAATAAATTGAAGTGCATCAAGGGATATAAAGTGACATACTACATATGGGGATAAACTTATATATAAAATTAATGAATTAAAATATATGAATAACAAGTGTAATGCTTTGAAGAGGATAAAGAAATCGAAATACTATATTTGGGTGATACACGTAGATATGAAATGAGTAAAAGTACCGATTTGCACTATAATTAAATAAAAAAATACAATTAAACAAAAACAGGTTCAACTACCTTAAAGAGAATATAGTAAGGTACTATACACTGGTAATGTAATTCAGATTTATACTATAATTTAGCAATGAAACATCTAAAAATTAGTAAAAAGGAGAGGCTAGCTCATAGGTAAGTGGGTAGAATGACTGGACATTACTCAGGAGTTTCAGGTTCAATTCTGCTTTGAGCATCCTTAAGAAGTAGTGACAACGATTTTCGCTTGGAAAGAGATATAGCAAATATCTTTACTAGTGAAGATAGCCCTTATCCGGCAGTACTGCATCAATAAATATTCGCCTTAATACAAAAATTGTGATAATAACTGACAGACAACTGTTTCGGTTGCTATCTGCAGAACCAACTAGAATTAAGTAAAATTAGCACAACATCTTATATGACTCTAATAAGCTCTAATTTGCTGTTCAAAATATTAATAAAAACAGTAAACAAGAGCTTTAACTACAAACGGAGATAAGGTAAGGTATATATTATACATAAAATATATCAAATACAGTAGAACCTTGATTATCCGGACCTCAGTTTTACAGATTAGCAATTATCTGGACGACCAACCACGACTAATTTATATGCATGTACATACCTACAATTAGAGTTTTTGCACGATTAATGCTGCATTGTAGTAAATGTATGTAATGTAATCTAAGAAAATATATATGTACATACATAAGGAGGTTTCAATTCTTAATAAACATTATTTTCGTTGATATCTATGTATATATTTGTTATTTTTAATAAATACACAACATTATTCTTCATACATTCGATTATCCGGATGAATATCGACTTCTGTTTTGTAAAAATATTAATTACAATTAAGTATAAGAATGTGTGTATGTACGCAAGCGTTCTGTGTAGGGAATGCAATACCGGTATACCGGTATACCGAATTACCGGTAAACCGCCTGATTTTTCGGCGGTATTTTTACCGGTATTTATTCCAAAAATACCGGTATTCTCGGTATTTTTACATAAGCGCTATTTGATACATAATACCCTAAAGTTTAAATTTCTCGGTACAAATTTATCTTTAAATTCCATAATCGCATAAACAGTTATATCTTCAAGTGATTCTATAAGATAAACAAATGGTAAATATTATCTCAACTCGTCATTAAACTGAGTATTTATTGCTTTCCAAAAGGCTTCACATCGTGTTACAATAAATATAATTGGACTGATTAATAATGATGTTTGTTTCATCTTTTGTAAAAAATGTAACGGTTTTTTAAGTGATATTTTCGCCAAAATATTTTATATCATAGAGATTACCTCTGCGTAATCTTTATTTTTTCTAACTTCATACATAATAATTATGATAAATACTAAATATTTTTGCTTCTTATTGCAATTATAAAATATTATTTTTCGAAAACGTTTCGAAGTTTGAAAATACTATAGAAGCATCACATTGTTTTAAATAACAATACTCAACAATTATAGTAACTTATCATTTATCTCGACAAAGAATCCGATCTTAAATTAGTGTAGAAAAATTATTTTTTTTTTAAATATAAGAGATTATGCTAATTTAACACATCGGATACAGACAATACAGCTTATTATAATAATGTAATATGATCTTTTATGCGTTTTTGGTCTTTCTCACTCATAGGTTTGTTTTTGGTGAAAAGTACTCAATATACTCGATAGTGATAATGAATTAATTAAGTTGCATATACTTTTGTTAAATTATTATTCAAAAAAATAAACTTTTTGTTTTATTTTATTGTTTAGTTGAATATAGTTGTAGTTGTATACATTTTTTTATATTTGTACTAGTAACTTTCAATTTTGTTTACGTTTGTTTAAGATAATAAAAAACCGGTAATTTACCAGTATTCCGTTTTTTAAAATGAAAAATTACCGAAAATACCGGTATTGAAATTTTCCATCGGTATTGCATTCCCTAGTTCTGTGTATATATGTGTGTATAATAGTAATAAGTAAAAATATATAGATGTCTTAATGTAAGTCTGTTACATAAAACTTAGATTTTATTTTTGTTATAATTGCTGTGATCTCTCATACCAGAACAATTGTCTGACTGAAATACAGTATGTATGAATTATATCAAATAAATAAATAAATAAATAAAAATATCGACAACGATTAGTCCGGTTATTCGAGGTTCTACTGAAATACATACAAGGAGTAGCATGTGTAGCAGTACTTTTGCACTAAA